TATTCGGTACATATTACTATCGTATAGTCATTATTCATTATTTTAGATAATGTTAATTTATTTTATTTTATTTCATTAAACCAACAAGCATCAGCCACTGCCTCATATTCTTCACGGAAAGAAACTTGCATTGGCATATAATCATCATCAATAATTGTCTGAAATTCATAAGAAAATATAAGATATATAAGAAATATAAGAAATATAAGAAATAAGAAGGGTAATCACATATGAAAATCAAACGATTTACAAGACATTACTTGATGAAAATCTACTGAAAACTTGTGTTTCAGCATGTCAGAATATCTCTGGAAAATGACTCTAACTAAATCTGTAAAACTGTTAATATTATATCCGTAATCCTATCAATAGGTAATCAAATCAATCAGAATGTATTCAAGTATTGTAGAAAATGTTTATCAGAAACAGATGAATAAATATCTACCTCTAATGTCTGAATGAACGTAAATAAACTAAACTTGATTTGCTTAAATAATTCAGGATCACGACAATCATCTAAACTTTCAGCCACAGTTTTGACAACTCTTGCTATTACTGTATCCCATAAATGATCTACTTCTGCTCGTGATCGAAAATTTTGTGTTGAATGCACGATAACATGCTCAATGACAAAGAACCCAACAACATCTTGTAGGAAAGCCTCAAAGCCCTTGTCATTATTCTCCCTTAACGTATAAGACTCTGAAAGAACCAAATTTGCCTGGGCCTAATTTTATGACATTAATTAATTAATTGTAATATGAAAGTTAGCTACACAAAGATAATAAAAAAAGGTCAGGTATGAATTTATGTATGAATCTATTTACCTTTCTATCTTCTTCATAATTTGATTTGAATTCATTAAGCTTCCCAAGCTCTTCATAAATATGTAAGCATTGATATAATGGTTTAAAATCTATCTTCACTTCTACATTATTTATAATGTTAACTTTTTTCAACGAGTAATATTTTATCAGTGTTAGTGGAACTTAATAGAAAGTACAGCAGATTAAATATTAAAACACACATTCGTTTTCTTCATTCATTACAATTTCAATCGGAGAACTGACGGGAACAGATCGTAAATCAGGATTCTGAGATACTTTCACTTTCCATCGCTCTTGACGCAATCTCATTTGTTCCATAGCTAATTTACCAACTTGTCGCGTCACTTGCCGAACACTAATACATAAAATGAGCATTAATATTATGAAAATGAAATAATTTGAAACTAAAAATCCGTATTTACACACCGAAAAAGCCATTCTTTCATCTCTTTAGTGACGGCATCTTTAACACTAGTTTGCATGACAGGTATAGATTCATCTATTTGTATAATTAGTATACATAGGATCGAATGAATTTTATATAGATGATATTATAATATTAATAATATTAGTAAAAATTTGACATACGCATATGCTTGGCAAATTCATATTGAATAACTTTTCGCAAATGCACAGTCTGTAATTCTTCTAAAGTCTTTACAAAATGAAATAAAATAAAATAAATTAACATTATCTAAAATAATGAATAATGACTATACGATAGTAATATGTACCGAATA